TGGTACACAAAATTAAATTCACCATTTATACATCTGCGACATTATTAGACAATGCGATGCAATTTCGACCTTATTTCCATAAAAGTGAAGTTAATTTCAACTTCACTGATTGTCGGTGCTACCATTCGGCGGTGGGATATCAAATGACAGTCACATATACTAACGAGGTTCCACGATAGTACCAATTTTCGTAATTAGGTTACTTCAAGCGAATTTAAACTTTATAGCTTCGGATTATAGCAGGTGATAGATGTGTTGTTAAGATTGTCATTTCATTTTCAGCAATGTAGGATTGCTAAAGCATTTGAAAAGGAATTGTTGAGTACGTTGGCGAAATAATTACTGTTTTACTACGTGCGGGCGGACGTAAGTGACATTGTTCTACCCTCCGTACTTTTGAACTTTAATAATAGAAAAGTCTACGTACGTACTACTTTTTTTTTAAACAATGCAAGATGTTTTATATGGCAGCCTTTTTACGTTCTACAGGGTGCCGTGCCGGGCTCCCCTTTCGTATCCAACGGATGTTGAGTACCGTGCGCAATGGGAGGTCGACGAAGTACAAATTCCTTTAATGATAATAATACCTTCACGTCATAACTGCTCGTTTGTAAATTATTTCGTGTTCAAATGTTTTAGGTCCTTTAAAGAATCATACAAAGTATAGAAATAAGCCTTTTAAAAATGTAATAAACTTAAAATATGTGTTTCTCGAGATTAATGCTAATGTAATCTAATGTGATTGACATTATTACTGTAGATTTCTAGGCAATGTTTGTTTGTATACTAGGGTTCAACAATGGTTTAAGAAAAATTTTGTTAACTTAGACATGAAAATACCATATTTTGTGATAAGACTTAATAACTACGTCCGCGACCATTACTTTTATCAACCAGGGTAACCATATCTATAAAAATTAATAAAACGGAAGTGTTTGTTTGTAACAAAATAACAGATTTAATAATTGCGTATAAATATAGACGGTACTTATAACTAGAAAACTATTTTTAAATATTGTGTTTGTCTGTTCCAGCTAATCTTTGAAACAGCTGAATTGATTTTGACAGAACTGATTTTTACTGACAGATATCATAAGGAGTACCTTAGGCTACTTTTATTGTAGAAAAGGAATAAAGGAACAACTAGTCAACAATACACGCAATAATGGTATTAATGTCGCTAATAGCTGTGGTAGAATCTTGTTTTCATTAGGTATATGTACGAGTAACTCTTGATGACATTTACATATTATAAGTCTTAATTTCGAGACAATGGGTGCATTTGGCAGAAAAAAGCGCTAGCAAGCGCTTGTAAGCAAAATGGCGATCGTAAGCGGTAAGCGCTGTCAAATCGTAAGTAGCTATTTTCCTCCAGGACACGATGTTAGTTTTAACCGGGGAACCTAACCTAATTTAAACATATGTTTGTAAAGTATTCATATTAAAAACTTACCAATCATGAATTTTTAATAACATGTATATGTTTATTCACGTTATTATATTACTTAAAACTAATATTGCACAAAACAACTTATAAACTCTACTTCAAAACAAACAAATTAAATAAGCAAAATGGCGGATAGTGTCAGCGCTACTGAAGTAGCAATCGTGTCCTGGCCGAAAACTATTTTAGCGCTAGTAAGCGCTTGCTAGCGCTTTTTTCTGCCAAACGCACCTATTTATTTAAAAGATAAAATAAGTTTGTATGTTAACATTTGCTCACCTGTCATTATTTTTTTAGTGGGTGTAAATTTGTTTTACTGAAAAAAGTACTTTCATGTGTCAATTTGCATCTTATATGAATGATTATAAGATGAAAAATAAATTCTTACGCTTATATTTTTATTTTCAACCAACAACAATTTCATCTTATAAAAGTTTAACGATTTATTTTTATAGCCTAAAATATGTACAGAATATTTGGCTGATACGCTGCAGGTTCTAGATTTAAATTCCCGGTGGAGTCAACATTTTCTAGTGATATAAAGGGTTAGATTTCGTTTTTGAAGTGTTTTATTATTATATCTGTATCTATAACTCCGTTGCTTATTGTTAGAAAATGCAATCTCCCGAGATTTTGGCCAAGCAAAAGATCTCGCGAGATTAGCGATATTAGTCTCGCAAGATCTTGCTAAGGGCTTGCGCTCACACAAGGCATGGCACAGCGTGGCAAGACATACTTCCTCATGCCGAAGTATCCTGTGGCATCCTGCGGCATGCCAAACAAAAGTCACATTTTATTAACAACATAAGGTAACCTATGCGTTTCACGTGATGGATGCAGCGGCGTACCGCGGCATCCCATAGAATGCCGTGAGGTGCCGTGACCTCCTTAGGAACGCCGTGACGCATTCGTGTTGAAATGAAGAAAAGTTTTTGCTGTAGTACTGAGCGACTTAACTCTCTGAAGACTTTCAAAGTTCCCATTAAGTCAAACTTTTCTTCTAGCCATAGAAAAAGAAGGTCCATCAGGTAGATTTCGCGTGATCCCCACATCTTGCTACATTCGAGGTTACATATCCCTATCGCATAAGCATTACGTCAACAAAGGAAAATTATAAAAGTGTGGTAGCGCAGAGGCTAAGCATTTCGCGCAGCCTCTCGTTGGAATCCCGCAAGAAACAAGTACTTGTATTGTCAGTAAATATTGGCGCGGGTCTTGATATTTGTCTTGGTTGTCGCAAAAGCCCTTTTAATACTAGAGAAAAACCGAATGGTAAATCCGAGCCCTTATGGTACAAGAGTATCCGCGCACTAGTGGCACTACAATATCTTCTGCACAGTTTATAGCTTCCGGCACTAGACGAAATTGGTCGGCGCTGTCGAGAGGCCGTTCGAAAGCTCTTGAATTGTAATAATTAATTAATTATGTTAACTAGAATACTGCACAATTAATTTCAATATTTTATAAAGTCTTACGATTCACAAAACACAAAGTAAGATTATATTATTTAAATATCTAAATAAAGTTTTCATATAATTTATATTAAATTTGAAAATTACTGTACAGGGAATGTTAAAAAATAATTACCCCTATCCCTTTTGAGGGATACCTCGTAAATTGTTTTCGACCCTTCATAACAAGTACCACTGGACATCTTCTATAAATCATTTTTATTACCATCCACCCTCCAACCCAGTCATAAAGGGGGTGACTAGCCAATAACACCCCTAACCCGAGGTGTTATATCATGAGGTTTAAAAATAGTTTTTCGCATATCGATGCTATCTTGAATGTCGATACAAACTGCAGTTTCGCGTGCACAGAGTAGTGTTGCGCCTTAAAAATATCGATAACTTCTAATTTAAACTAATGTAAGCTTTATATTTTACACTAAAGAGTTCCCTTAACGATCTTTTTTCATCATTTCCCTTATTTTCGCGTGTTGGGACCGCTAGGTCTGCGGTATTATTTAATGCAAATAACTATGATCAACATGAACAAGTTTATAATAAATTAACTTACGTTTTTATGTTATACAATGCCTCCATTCTTTTAATTATGTATTATAAGGTAATCACTCTAATTTCTGTATCTACTCAACTCCAAATTTCAATAAATAATTTTTAAATTTGGACTATTTCTTTAACTCGTAAGGTAAAAACTGTTACGCCTACCCAGCAGTGTTGCAGAGACCGTGTCATTTCATTTGGCACGATCATGACACACCAAACTTGATTCTTTTACATCGGTATGTCTACATCATCATTCATGCTCATTGGTCATAGGTACTCTAAATCTGTCCTATTCAATAGATCACCACTTTGGTTAATAAACTTACGTCTGCAACATCTTGCAAACCACACTTTTCTCTTATCACAGTATTTTTGTAGAAGTGAAAAAGTTTATTCGTCTCTAAAAAGAACCGTAAATTTAAATATATAACAGGTTCTTCATTTTTCATTAAAATATAATAATAATTATTGATAATTTAAAATATATTAATACTTAATATATAAAGATTTAATTAAACTTATTTTTATCAATTTTTTACTCAATTGCAGGTCGCGGACGACGACCTTTACAACTTGCTGAGCTTAGAACAGCATAGCAATCTAAAGTGATCATAGTGTAGCTATCGAGAAATATGTCTAACTGCCAATAACTCAAACTCTAATCAATTTTAAGACGTCATTAAGTCTCGTGGTGTCACGCTCACTTTGACTTAAAGTGATTTGATACAGACAGCACGTCATAATAATCCAAAAATTCTAACTTAATAATTATTGAAACTATATAGATTAATCAAAGCTGTATCACGTCACTATACCCTAATGGTACCGGGCGTACATTTTACAGATTACGAAAAAAAAAAAGGCTAGAAATACTTGTATGTTACAATCTATAATCATAGATATTGGTTTGTACTCAATAATAATAATAATAATAATCATAATAATAATATCTTATCTTTCTTTTCATTTTAATTTATAATTATATATTTATAGAACCCAACCAGGTGGGAAAATTATAAGGCGTAGGGAAGTGACGACCCCATCGCCCGCTGACGTAACGGTTATGTGACAAAACCGCTACGTCAGCGCAGTCAGTCAGCACCTTGCCAAGAGGTGTTAGTGCCGTGCCTCGGCAAAAATTGAAGGTGCAAAGGCCCGCTTGTGCACATGGCCTCACCATGAAACGGCGCCGGGTTTGGGCGTCTCCCGCTAAACGACGCCCTAAAAATGGATGATGGAATTAAATAGAACGCGCAAAGGGCCGCTGCCTGGAGGTCGCCAGGGCGCGTCTGGAGCTGGCGCTGGACAGCATGCGAACCGTCAGCCGAGCGCGAGGTGCTGCACGACCACCCAGCAGCCCCTCGCATCCATCATCCCCACCAGCTGGCTTGGTGTCGGCAGGGTCTTCGCGGGCCCAGCAATCGGCACCCGCCACTGGTGGAGTACGCCGCATGCGTTGGACAACCCAGATGAACAGCAACGCATTGCGGGCGTATTTTAGGGCGAAAGGGGGAGAAACTGGAGGTTTTGCGTATCGGGCAAGGATGCATCGACTTTTTGCTGAGCTGGAGCCATCTGTAACCGTCACCGAGCAAAACCTTGCAGACCGAGTTCGATATATCTTGCGCTCAAATACATTTGATGTCACCGAACTCGAACGGCTACGACGTGAGGCTGTTCCTTCATCGGGTGAAAATGCTGCGGCTGAGGATGCGGCGCCACAACTTGCTGAGCAATCGGCAAATGTGAATGCCGCCGTAAATACGCCAGTTGTGGTTGATTCAAACGATGATGGAACAGTCGCCCAGGAACTGGAACTAGAGCAAATGAGGAGTACATTGGAAGAGGCGATTGTGGAAACGCGCAGTACGTCTCTCGAAAATCGACCGCGACTTCCCCGCTTAGCCCAAAGCAAGCAGAATCGAGCTGTCGTGAGGGCTCTGAACCCAATGCTGGTTACCTATTTGGAAGCCAGCCGGGACCTTTGCGAGACGGACTCAATTCTTTTTGGCGCCGCACTGGCAGTCTGCCGTATTATAGGCGCCAAACTTTCCACGGCTGGACGCGCTACTGGACAAAGTAGTGCTATCCCAGCCAGGAGAATAAGAACTGAAGAACGTATCGCAAAGGCTAGGGCCCTCATCGGCAGACTGATATGCTTCAGGTCAGGCAATACCAGGCCAAGGATTGTGCGCACCGTTAGGATGGCGTTTGTTGGGACAAATGTTAGCTTGTCCCAGCCGGATATAATGCATAAACTGACGGAGCGCGTAGACGACCTGAAGCAAAGAATCGCTGCTTGGGGAAAGCGTATTCGGCGCTATACCGAGAGGTCGACACGGTTCAATCAGAATCGTCTCTTCCAGAGTGATCAGAAGAAGCTCTATAAATCATTGGAGCGACCAATAGTAAGTGGAACGGGCCCAGCACCAAATCAGGCCGACACAGTCAGAGTAAACCACAACGAGGGCCCTTGGACGGAAGTTGTGGCGAGTCAGTGTGCGGGTATTACGCCCATGGACCCTGTCATCATAACGCCGGATGACGTAGCTGAGGCGGTCCGTAGGGCCCCGAACTGGAAAAATCCGGGGCTTGACGGGCTGCATCACTACTGGCTGAAGGGGTTCATGGTGTGTACGCTGTGCTCGCCCGACAGTTTCAAGAGGCTCTCAACCAGAAGTCGCTCCCAAGCCTCTTCACTACTGGGATCACTCATTTGGTTCCTAAAGATCAGGGTGCCACAGACCCGAGCAAATACCGCCCCATTACGTGTCTACCGACTATATACAAGACACTAACATCCATTTTGAGCGCGAGAATCGCTCGTCACCTGAACTCAAATCAGGTGATGTCGCGCGCTCAAAATGGATGCCGGGGGCGGCGGTCGTGGATCCAAGGAACCACTCCTCATTGACGCGGTCATTGGCAAAGTGGTGAAACGCAACCGACGGAACTTCTCCGCCGCCTGGATAGATTACAGAAAGGCGTTTGACACGGTGCCCCATACATAGCTAAAGAGGGTCCTCGAGCTGTACAAGATTGATTGTACAGTTCGAGACTTCCTCGAGCGGTGTATGGGGCAGTGGAGTACGATCCTCTGTCATCTAGGCGAGCGGATGACGGCTGCGGAAAGCCGCATAAGGATAAGGAAGGGGTATATTCCAGGGCGACTGTCTGAGTCCAATCTGGTTCTGCCTCTCTTTGAACCCTCTCAGTACTTTACTGGAGGGCTCCGGGAGGGGATTTCAGCTTCGGAAAGGAGGTACAAAAGTGACCCACCTTTTCTATATGGATGACCTCAAATTATTCGCCTCCAGTCGCTCCCATCTTGTGGAATTGCTAAACATCACTTGTGAATTTAGCAATTCTATTAGAATGGAGCTGGGGACGGATAAGTGTGCGGTCCTCCATGTTGAAAGGGGAAGGTTTGCTAACTCTGAGGGCATAGACTTATCTATGCCCGTCAACTTAAGGGCCCTTTCCGAGGCTGAAACATACCGATACCTGGGTATGTCACAGAACATCGGTATCGATGAAGCTGGTATGAAACAGTCAGTTTGCGACGTGTTTTATGCACGCTTGGTTAAAGTGCTTAACAGCCTTTTGTCCGGTGTGAATAAGACACATGCATAAAATGGTTGGGTCATGCCTGTCCTCATGTATACCTTTGGCATACTCAGATGGAGTCAGACTGAACTTAAGGCCCGGGATAGAAAAGTCCGCACTACAGTGACGTCCCATAGGATGCATCATCCGAGATCGTCGGTAATGAGGCTGTACTTGCCGCGAAAGCATGGTGGGCGTGGCTTCCTGAGCGCGCTCACCATTCATAATCGCGAAGTGTGCAGCCTCCGTCATTACTTCCTGGCGAGATCGGATTATCCATTCTATAATGACGTCATTTCTAGTGATAAAGGACTTACCCCTCCATCCTTAGCCAACGAGCAATGGCTAGACCCGGCAGTACAGAGCATTTCCGACCGGGAGACCGTATGGAAGGAGAAGGAGCTCCACAGGAGGTACTACAGGGCTCTACATGAGCCTCACGTAGATACAGCCGCCTCCCTCAACTAGCTACGTTTCGGTGACCTCTTCGGGGAAACCGAGGGTTTTGTCTGTGCAATACAGAATCAGGTTATTAAGACCAACAACTATCGGAGATACATCCTAAAGGATGGCACTGTCGACGTCTGTCGAGCTTGTCGCCATCCCGGGGAGTCACTTAGGCATGTCATCTCCGGTTGTTCGGCGCTTTCTAACTCTGAGTACTTGCACAGGCACAACCTAGTAGCCAGAATTCTACACCAGGATCTCGCACTGAAATACGGTCTCGTGGACCGAAAATTTCCGTATTACAAGTACTTGCTGGAAGCCGTGCTCGAAAATGACCGCGCCAGGCTCTACTGGGACCGGGCCATCATCACAGACAGGACTATTCTTGCGAATAAGCCTGATATTGTGCTGATGGACCGGGCACAGTCAAGGATATTTTTGATCGACATTACCATTCCGTATGACGAGAACCTCGTGAAAGCCGAAACAGATAAACGAACAAAGTATCTGGACCTGGCTCACGAGGTGACCGACATTTGGGGTGGTATGCCGACCGAAATTATTCCTGTAGTCGTCTCTGCGAATGGGCTAATCCCAGTCAGCCTCTCGGGTCATCTGAGGCGACTGGGACTCCGTGACGGACCGCTCTGGGCTCAAATGCAGAAGGCGGTGCTCCTCGATACCGCCCGCATCGTCCGCCGGTTTCTTTCCCTTTCCCCCTAACCCTCGGCCGTTTGGTCTCCCCTGCCGCGGGCCTCCATCTGGTTGGGCTTTTATTTATTTATGTATTTTTATATTTATTTAGTTTTATTGATATTTATGTATATTTATCTTTTCATTTCCATTTATAGTTATATATTTATAGAACCCAACCAGACGAGAAAACTATATTGATACCCCCCAATAATAATAATAAAATATTTATTCATTGACCAAAAGTAATAAAATATTTAAAATATTTTTTATATTATATAATATTTAAAATATATTTAAATTATACGAACGACGAATTACCATATTTTAAATAAAATATATCGAACCCAAATCCTGGACTGATGGAAAGCAGTATCACCTGAGCAAGGGTATCGATGCAGATCTCTCCAAACAACCCGCGCAGCGTAGCACTTTTTTTATTATATAACTGAAGTGTCAATGAACTTATAGTCTACCTAATGGTAATTAGTTGATTCAGTCCATGGACATCTGCGGATTCAAACGATGAAAACTAATGAAAGCTATTGATGCGTTGGCGCTTCTGATTACTAAGATGAAATACACAGCCTCACAGCCTGTCATTAAACTTGCTCTCTATAGCCTTCAGCTCAAAATTAGCCTCACACCGAACTATAGAATACCCAAAAGGACTCCTATAAAAGAGTTCTACCCAGTATATCTTAAGATGGATGCTTGCCTCAACAGCTTATTCTTGACAACTGAGATAAAAGTCACATCTATTCCTTTTGCATCGATGATGGAGAGATGTCTAAGGGTTTTTATAATCTACTACAGTCATTACAAGGTTATCTTGTTTTCTTACAATAAAAGAAATAATAAGCTGTATTATGATCCAAAACATACAAATGTTGGCAGCAACATGTTCATTTGTTGATTGGTTTTCAGCCACGGGCGATTTAAGCTCGCAGTACACGTACTTACAAAATAAAACCGCCCACAGTTTCGTCAGTTAAACAAAAAGTTTTGGAGAATAAACTATGTTGTTGATTTCTTACTTGGAAAAATTGTAATCTCAAATGTTATATAAATACTACATTATACGTACTTTCAATAATCGATCAGACTTGGAGAGATGAATGAGAGGAGTGAGTGAGAGAGAGTGAGAGAGAGAGAGAGAGAGAGAGAGAGATCTACAAACGTGTTTACAAAAATGCAATTATGTATTAATTCTCGGAGGTAACATCTGTAGCCTTTTTTGTCTCTATATAAACTGGGCTACAGGTACCCATGGAATACAGTTCATGCAGTAGCCACTGTTGTCAGGCAGACTGTAAGTCCGTTTTTCATTTTAGTTTTATAAAAAAAAAGAACTAAATTTAATAACTTTGTATATTTATATTACGTATGACTTTAATTGAAGTCGTAGAAAAAAAATATTAAATAAAAAATAGTGTCGGTTAACGGGCATATTGTATGACGAGGTTTCGTAGAGCGCGTGTTAAACCAATGTTTAAAGGCCAGAATAATTTATTGCGAGGGCGGCAGGCTTATCGTTAATCTGTAGCAACGTTAAATCGCTCTCGAATTTTTGATTAATAGCTACGTTTCCGTACGATCGCTGCGTTAACGGTAAAGAAACGGTTGTTGTTCACCATAAAATCTTGCGTTAGCGTTAACTTCTGAAAGTTCTAAAGGAATTTCATTTCATTTACTGGTCGTTTTATATTTGATAGATGCGGAAGAAAAATGTTTTCGTATTTTCACAATGAGCAATATTACTAACTGTCCTATAGATAAATGATAAATCTTTATTGTGACACATTCTGTTCTCTTCCGTAAATAATCATTATTCTTCTCATATTACACTCACGAGTAGTATGAGTATCGGAGTTACTCCAGTATATTATGTATTGTATACGAAAGCCCTCATTTTACGCTATGACTTGCGAAAACGAGTTAAACGATCTGTCCGTGCCGCCATTAATTTGCCCAGATTTATTATACTCGATCCTCAGAATATGCACACCTAACACCCCTTTACTCGCGAACTTACCACAATAAATCTTCGCGCGTACTGCATTCTAGAACATTCTTCGTGCTTCTTTAATTCGGGTAGACACGAATTGATGTATCGGAAAGTTCGAAAACACAGCGTCAGTTTCCTGGTCGATGGAACGTTCAGAAATTGATTATGAAACGTTGAGTCGACAGTTTTTCGTTTTGTCTTCGGACGATGTTTGCTTTTGGACGGGTAAATGGTTTCTGAACGTAACGATCGGTCGAACAATATCGGTTCGGTTTGATTGGATTTATTTGGGAGCGTTGCTTTTGGTCGGTTGTTTTTCGACTCTGTAGATGTGAATTGCGCTGAAGCGGCTTCGATATTGTTGCTGATTTTTTAAAACGTATTTAATGCCGAGTGGATTAAGAGTGTCGTATTTTTAAAATGTGTATGCTTTAGGAATAATTCATGAAAATTTTTTGAATTTTGAATTGAAGAAATTAGGAGTTTACTCCTACCTCAAAGATTAACAATGCCACTGAGATTTATGTTTTGTTACAGATTTTCATGGCAGCGGTAGTAATTTTGTCACTCACTTCTATGCTTAAAAAAATATCAAACCGTGGCAGCATGCCGCTGCTTCTTTTAAATTAACTGACATTTGTGTTTACTTTTTGGTGTTCCGTTTCTAAGAAGGTATTTATGTCATAAAAATTAAGAATTAAAAGCTGAAGGTAGCCGGAGTTGAACTATTTTCTGAGATGTAAGTGCTGTCAGCCTATGTGGCTCTTAAAGGTTCAGCTGACTGGGAGCAGAGCGAAAGCAATGAATATGAGGATGATGATGATGATGGTTTATGATTTGATATTGTTGCCAATCATTATGTTGCCTCTTTGGTCGTTTTTGAGCTATATTACGGCTGTCCGCCTCTGACTGCTCAGCTCGTGTCGGTCGATGTTCACCCGCGTACCTGAGCGGTTCTACCCGTGTACCTAACGAGGCACTACCCCGTACAACGGGTGTACGGTGTGTACGATGTCTGTGCTGGAACCCCATCTGTCATCCTACTGGTGCTTGTCCCATTTGATGTGGGTTATTGTGTGTTGTACCTGCGACGTTTGGGTCGACTGGATCATGGATCGAGCGGTAACTGGATCGAGCGGTACAGCCGGAATTGACTAATCTTATGCACGGTAGTGAAGATTACATTGTTAACCTCCTTACTAATAACATATTTACTACTACTACAACTATATTACTAATATAGCTGCAGTATCTCTCTATTACGTAGAAAGCGACCTTTGTTGGAGACTGGTGTCCATACTAAGGTCATCCCTGTGTTACAAGTCACCAGGCCCTCACCCTTGTACATAATTACATTTCCTAATACAGAAAGGTACAAGAAAGTTACAAAAATAACAAATAAATAATATAAAATATTCCTAGAGTTTCTTACCGGTTTAACATTGTGTTCCTAATTTTTAAACCGATAGTAGATTTTACTTTCATGAACGTTAAACAAGATTTATACGCGGTAGATACGCTGTAGTATTGCAGCACGAATGGGTCAGCTCGACCGAGGAAGGACCATGCTCTCACAGAACACCAGCGTAAAGTAGTAGCTTGATGCTGCTGTGTTTCGTATGGTGAGTGTAGAGAGCCGTAGTTCCTTTTTACAGGAAATGAGGCATTCCGTCCTCATGGTGACAACGGGACTGTATTTTGATTCATAATCGAAGATAAATGTAGATGTCTATAGGCCACAGCATCCAGCATCAGATGGACTACGTGCTCGTTTGTTATCCTTATTCTATAAAATAAAATAAAAGTTTGAAATAAACCTCAATTGGATAAAGTTTTGAAATTCACTCTCTATCTTCTAACTAATTGCTTCTTTTTTGTTGCAGAACCAAGATACGAGACAGCGTACGCGTGCGAAGGAAAAACACTGAAGATTGGCTGCGCGGAAGGTTCAGTTATCCACCTCATCAGAGCTAACTATGGAAGGTTCTCCATCACGATCTGCAATGACCACGGGAATACTGATTGGAGCGTTAACTGCATGTCAACGAGGAGTTTACGGGTTTTGCATAGCAGGTTTGTAGAAAACATCCAATTCTGGAGCTCCTTTGTTATCAAGTTGTAACTTATGAAAGGTTTACTTAGATTTAACAACTCCATGTAAAATACATATATGAACTAATTTAGTTCATATTACTTAGGAAAATTTTATAAAAAGTAATTCAGTATGTAATTAATTTCGTCATTGAATTTTTTTATATAAAGTTTATTTTTCGTCGCAAAAAAAGTATCGAAGTAGTGTAAGTAGGTAGCGAAAATTGGGTGTGGTAGAAGAAGCATGAGAGTAAAATGAATGCTGGAAAGTGCGTACCAGACACGTAGAAAGAATGAATGAGGAAAGAGCGACAATGCAAATTTTGGTGCAGAAGTGAGTGGTAGAGTTGGCAAGGCACGTCCTAGACGAATGTCACCGATCAAATTGGCGATATATTGAAGATAAGCCAAGAAGAGTTAATCGACGAGAATTTATGCGTAGATATACTCGTATGTTTGTGAAATAAGCGAGAAAGATGTGTCAGATTCGTGCTAAATTGGAGTTCGTAGTCTCTATTACCTCTCTGGATGACGGGTGAAAGAGTTAATAGAGTACTAAAATGTCTTACTGCATTAAAGGCATACCTTTATAGAAATCTTATAATAAGGTTTGCTTGTAAGGATGTTCAAAGTTTCTCAAATTGTTCTCTCACTATGTCGGTCCGTAATAAGCAATAGAGGAAATCGTTAAAATTAACCAAACAAAGGTAAAAAGTTTCCCATGTGTAGTGCACGAATGGATCGGCTCGACCGGGGAAGGACCACGCTCTTACAGAATACCAGCGTAAAATAGTTAATAGTAGCTTAATGCTGCTTTGTTTTGTACGGTGAGTGTAGAGAACCGGAGACCCTTTTTACTGGAAACCAGGTATTCCATCTTAGTCCTCACGGGTGACTACGCATCTGCATTTTGATCAGTAATCGAGGATAGATGTAGATGTCTATGGGACACAGCAACCACTTACCATATGGTGGACTGGGTTTGTGATCGTTAGTCACCCTATCCTATTAAAAAAAATGTTTTTCCTTAAACAGTGTCTCGACTTATGATTGCTGTATTTCATTTCACTATTAATGCACGCAAACATGTCCACTTGTTACGAAATTCAGCTTTCTTGTATGTAAATATGCTACTCGTAAAAGTGGAAATATTTAGGTGGCTTCAATATTCATAGTACGCCATTAAAATTGTTAATTGCAATTTTAAGTGCTGAACTTTAATAGTTTACTACATGCTAGGAAGTAAAGGATTACATTTTGAGGTAATCTGCATGTCTTAGAAGATAAATTACTTCGCGGACATGAGAGGTCCGCCAACAAGCACTGGAGCATCAAGGCGTATTATTGCACAGTGGGTAACCCTCTCAGAAATAAGAGTGGGCCTGTGCTCAACTGTGCTGTGCTGTGGTACCTATATAGAATTAGGTAACATATAGTTTCCTTCACTTTCCTTGAATTATCTAGGAGTATATACATGACTGTCTCATCATGTGGTTCGAATCGTGGGCCGAACTAAAATTAGTTAGGTATTGGGTTTTTCTTCAAAGAAATTCTCGTTAGAAACCCGGAGTCAGGTCCTGCGCCTGATCTCCCCGATCGTGTCGTATTGCCGTCCCATATGGGAGGGAATAGATAGTGCACCCGTCCTTGCACACTGTAACCCTATGCTGCGCAGATGCCTACCGGATTTTAGTACGGAGGACATCATTGTTATGTATTTGCATTAGTGTTAATTCCGCTAGTTGAAAATATGCATCGACAATTTGTTACCTTTTAGCATACATCACTCTTTAACAGTCCACGTGGCGCTCTACTATTTTAGATCCACATCTAATATATGCATTTACGAGATGATAGTACAGTAATAAATAAGCTCTCTATTGAAGGTCATAAAATCTTTCTGGCGTTTTCCATAGTCGCTTCTCATAACACTTACTGAATAATATCTTGTATTTGATTGCGGTATCATGTAATAGATTCCATTACACCGAAAGTAACAAACCGGTAACCAACAAGCATCTGTGCCATCTTAAATTTACCACAAAAATTAGTCTGTAAATCTAAAATTCTAAAATGCTTTAATTTTTCGATACAATATGGCTAAGCATCGACTTTAGAATCTATTATGGATATTATTTTGTTCCCGTTGTTCTTGAAAGTTGGCTTTCATTTTGTATTAAAAACTTTTTTTTAACCTTTTTGAATGGCCTAAGAAATATCACAAGTTCGTAGTAACAACTACTCGTAGAAGTAGTCGTATAAGTAGTAACATTATAACTTTCATCTTAATTCAAATTTATTTATATGATCCCACCATACCTTGGATGTATATATTTAACAAAAACAAGATCGATTCGGAATTGACGAAAATATCGCGTAAAATACATATTAAAAATTAATAAAAAACATATTCGAATTTTCGGTCTCAATTCGGTCCATTTTCGAAATCCATTTTCGGCTAAAAATATAACCTCTCCTACTCTTAACTAAACGAGTTTCAATGTTGTGCACCCAGCCCTAAGAGCAAGGGTATGTTATACTAATTTAACATGTCCTTCGTCTGACATTTTGAATCAATGACAGAAAAGCTTGTCGGATTTTAGGTTTAATTAGTAACTAGCTCTTAGATGAATCTTTCAGCTAAGTAATGGACACCGAAAAGTGTAACTTTACAAGATTTAAAGGCGCAACTGATTAATTAAATAAATAAATCAATCTTAATTTGTGAAATCCAACACACAAAAAACCTTTTACTGTAAATAATCTCTGCTTATATGAGATAAATTGACTAGATTGTCCTTCTGGCCAATTACCATCACGGCAACAACTTTCTAAGTCTAACTCCCCCTCCCCGCATATTTTATTTAATAATTGTTAACTATCGCTTATTTAATTTAGTTATTAATCATTCCTATACCTGTGTTTATCTATTGTCATAAGATCTTAGTATTGTGAAAAGAGAGCAAACTTACGCATTTCTCAAATTGACTTTGATTTTTATGATTAACCTTTTTCTAAATTTAAAAAAAAAATCCATATAACCTAACGGTACTTCAACAAGTTATGAGTTAACTTAATTCAAGGAAAAATAAAAGCCACCTTCACTTTTGCTAAGATATTGGAGTCTAAAGCATGAGAACAAGCAACGCAACCAGGTCCGAAAACCAACTATACGCATAAATATTGCCACTGACTGTGATTTTAATCCAGGACGTAGGTAGATACATAAATTCTTTATTGCACTCAAAATAATTTGAACAAAGGCGAATTTCATGCCGAAAAAGCATTCTCTGCCAGCTATTCTTTGGTAGTGTAGTGAGAACTACGGGTAAAATATGAAAAGAAACCAATGATATCTATACTCGTATCATTGTCAACATATGACAACACGGTAGCATATTCATTCATCATCCATTAATTACAGCCAAAAAATGTCTAATAGGATGTTTGCCATAGTCGCCACACTTGGCAAGCGGGTTGCAAACCGTAGTTTTTTTATTTTTAGTTGTTATTAAGAGGTTAGAGTAAGTCAGCTCAAATTCTAATTTCGCCCCCACTTCCCCGCGCGTCGTATGCTATGTACCGAAATATTTGTAATCACTAATACTGTAAGTAGAAAGGTCGTTAGACACTTATTTCATTAGGTTTATCATATTTATGCCTGTTTCTTAAAGCCAAGCCAGCCGCTTCTTATTTTTATCACGGTTATTTCCCATTTTAATTTTACGTCGTACTGTTGCGTAACGTATATTCTGATCGTAAGCGACACAAATTCTGCCTTCAAAAGCCTAAGCGATACTAACGGAATGACGGGAATCAAGCTCAAGACGCCGATAGTTTAGGTAATTTCTTTTTACAGTGAAAATAATAGTATTTAAAAAAAAGTAAATAACATAAGCACTGCTTTATAGTTAGTTCAGTTAGTATGCAAAGTTTCATGATCTTATTTAAAGTATTTTATGAATAACAGCGGTTTATTGTTTATTTTGGAGGTAACTTTGGATTTTTTTTCTATCGAGAAAATTTTACGAAATCGTGTTTTCGTCTAACATAATCACTAACATTAATCCTCAACTTTACCATATATTTATTTCAAAATTAACGCTGCAATATTTTCGGCATAACGAAGGATCTTGCTAAGCCATTTGACATTATATTTCCCCTTAAGAAAACGTAGCTGCCCACCTCCTGGTAAGTTCCCCTTTGGTCGCCTCTTAAGACACGGGACGATATGCTTTCCTTCAATGACCACATAGATTTAGCTATAAAAAGAGCTTTTAGAAGCCTCGGTTTCATTAATAGAATAACTAAACCATTCAATAAGACTATCACTCTTAAAATCCTTTATTTCTCATTTGTAAGATCCATTCTTGACTTCGGCTGTATAGTGTGGTGTCCATTTTATAAAAACCATATTGATAGAATTGAAAAGGTCCAAAAAACATTTATTAAGATTTTAAATTACCGCTGTGACCTTTATGGCGAACCGTATATTAACTCCCTTCATAAACATAAAATGTTGAGTCTCAGTGATCGCCGTAAATATTTCGATATCATTTTCTTGTATAAAATTCTAAATAATAAAATTGACTGCTCTCCTTTATTAGCCAAAATAAACATTAAAAGTAATTTTCGTCTGCCCGCTCGCCCTCAACGTGTATTTCAAACATTCGTACCACCTACACTTCGAAAAAAATATACACAAAACTGCTTTATCTCCCGTTCGTTAAAATTATACAATAAAGAATTTGTAAATCTCGATCTCTTTAGTTGCTCCTTAAAAAGTCTTAAACGAAGTATCTTTAAGTTTAAGAGTTATGTATTCGTTGCGAGCTTGCGCAGACACACAATCGCAGTATCCGTAACAAATAAGCATATCAGCATATTCCTCAGATGTTTAGGACGTCATCTTCAACACTTCCGTATCACAGGTACAAATCAGAGTCTGGTTAACAAGCACAGTAGTCACAAATCAGAAGAAA